GGGGCTGGGAACCCCGAAGGGCGACCCACTCCTTCTTCGGGGAATGGGGAGGCTAGAGCCACGTACAGCCGCGAGCGGCTTACGCTATTGTCTATGAGAGCGGGGAAGCATTTAGCCAGGTCTTTCTCGTGCGCTACCGGTGTTCGTTCGCTCGAGCCCTGGGTGGACGCGATTCTACATCATACTCTCTTGACTCTCGGAATTCCCTCTTCCTCCGAAGGGATTATTAGGAAGTACCTGATGGAAGTCATAAATGAAACGGAGAAAGAAATCCTCGCAGATAGCATGAGGGAACAAGACATCGCTGAGAAGATCAATCAGCTGGACTCAGACTTCGAGGAGTAAGACCTCAACGGCTTGCAGCTTGGTACTCTGGATCCGGCGAGCACCTAATTCTCCAACCCGCTGAGTCTCTTCTCGAATTTTCTTTTACCCCTCTCCACAGAGCCCTCCGAATCGACGGCACGATCAAGGTCGGGATTGACAGTGTGGCGTCGGACGACACATCAGATGATGCTGGCGACGATATTTTCGGGAGCATGGACGAGAGCTTGGATATCGACGACGGGCTAAGCGAATATTCAGAAACCCCAACCGAGTCGGAACTTCAAGAGGGAGCTTCGGAGTCACAAGATATCAGAAACACGGAATCCGATTGGGACTCCATGAACCCTCCGCCTTCTCCCAATATTCCCCGTCCACGTCCCCTGGAAGAGAGCGTTCAACATCAGCGGCTCCCACCGCCACTGCCAGGGTCCGAATCAAAAACTGCTTTCAGCCGTATCGTTTACCCGGACGGGGGTTCCCTAGATGTGGGAAAGAGGATGTCAGGATTCGATGGGAGTGGTCTACACGTCCCGGCCCGTGAGCGATCGCAGTGGCTCCCACCCATGGCTCAGGGCGCGCCGCACGTCGCCTATCCCCCGGTGTTCCCCTATTTCGGCGTCGGTGCGCCCGTGCCATACTTCGCATTTCCCGTATTTCCGGTGTATCTTTATCCCACAATGCGTCCAGGCATTCAGCCGCTCCCGAGGAATCTGAATCATCGCAGGTGGAATTGAATAAATTACGCCTGGAGGAGCTTCTTGAACATTCTGTGCGACTGTGACTAGAACCAAGCCCACCCAAAGCAGGCGCTGTTTGTGCTGTTCCGGAGGTTGTTGATGATTTTCCATTAGGCCGGGACTAGAAGGAAAATCGCAGGGCATCAAAATCCCATCCGCCTCCCACATTCTACCGTAGCACAGCCCACCACCCCCCTGCACTGCTCTCTGAGCGAACAGCCTCTCGTGGAATAGATGGAAGATGCAAGAGCTCATACCACACTTCTCTTACACTCGGTTCGAATACGAGAATATTCTCCCCGTCGGTGAGGATCTTCCCCAGTCAAGGAGATTAGCACGGGAAAGTTCCCAGCCGTCCTGCGGAAGCTTCGAACCATTCGCCTAGCGGGCTCGTTCTTGTTTCATATTCGTTTGAACCCTACAGCAAAGGGGGTCTCTAAAATAAGGTGACTTCGGCTATTCGCAAGCGCATGTCATTCGAGGAATAACTGGACAGATGATTCACGAAAGAATCACCCGATTCGGACTGCCTGAGTGCGACAATGAATTGTTGCGGAACAGCGAGATTTCATGCCCGAGGGGGCCCGGACTTTCGAAGCGGAATCATTTCATGCTTAGCCGAAAATCAACGATAGAAGTGGCATGAATGACACCTTGACGGAAACTCGCGAGATGTTAGCTCGCGTCGTGATTGTCTCGATGGGCTGCGGTCCACGGTCACATCGCGGAGGACCGCGGTATTCAGAAATTGCAGCTCCGGGGTCGAAGGCGAGGGGGAGGTGAATTCTCCCGCCCGGCTTGGTCGACCATGCAGCGACAGGGCGCCAACATTCGAAATTACCGAGCGCCCCCTCGGAGTGGGATGCCACTCACCCTTTCACGGAAACCCTTCTGAAATGAGACCCAGGAATTTGGAAGACTGCATCTGATCTCTACTATTTGAGATCCCCTTCGGAAAATTCCGCGCTGATGTCCCTGCGGGAGATCCTTGTCGGCGGTCTATCATAGCAAGTTACTCTGACTGAGAAGCGAAAGAGAGCCGCAGCAGCAAGTGCACGTCACCTAACGAACCGGCTTAAGAAAAAGGCGTCGTTGGCTCCGAGCCCATTCGTACTGGAAATCCGTTGTGGGTTCCCCCTAATTGTAAACATCCTCTCAAACGCACGAATTGCATTTGAACTACACAATCGAGTCAGTGAATTCCATGAAGTTCCGTTCAAGATCTCGAAGAGAAAGAAGACTCTTCCTGCAGTTGATCCGGAATTGAGGGGGACATCTGATGCATTTATTGTAGTTGTCGTCGCCGCTGTTGTTATCGTTATAGTCGATCGTTTCGTCAACCGATTAAGGTGGAGGGCCCAACTTCGTCGCTGTTTTTCGCTAACATGGAGATCGCCAACGGAGACGTCGTCACTCGGAGGAGGAAGTCTCAAGCTCTTCGAGGCGACTACCTCAAAATAACCAAAGACGAACTTCGCAAGGAGCTTAAGCAGCGCGGATTACGGGGCAGCAACAAGCGTCATGAAATGGTGAGTTGGCGAATATCCCTTGCTTGGTGGCCTATCCGGATAGGAGGTGCGTTCGGGGTGCTGATGTACTGAGTCGAGCAAGGTTCCGGTCGAATAACGACGCGCGACAGAGCTGAAGCGCACCGGTCTGTCGATGAAGTTTCCTTGCTTAGGATCCTCTTGAAGTTTTCACCGAAAGCGATTGTACGAATCTCGAGCGGCGAATGAATTGAGTTCAGACAAGATTCAACTTTGTTTCATTCGATAGCTTATTTTAAAATCTTTTCGCAGATTCTCCCTCCGCATCTCAACTCGTTCTAATCATTATTAAGTGACGGAATTCTATCCACCCATATTCGAGATTTTCACGTCCGAAGGGCCACCTAGCCGGTTCTCTGCTATGCTCCCACCAAGCAATCGATGTTTTCATCATTATTAGACAAGTTGGAGCTTTGCGGAGCTGTGGTGTTGCTCGTTCTATCGATCCTTTACCCTCCTGACTGCATGAGACCATTCTCATTCTCTGCCCCCACAACGCTCAATGCCACGCTACGAAGCTGCAATTCACTTCCTATGCTGTATTCGTCCAGTTGCGCGGTCCGAATTTCTCGAGCTCAGAAAAATTTCGGAGACTTAATAAATCGTTTCATAGTTCTCTGACGAACCGAAGTGGGGGAAAAGTAGTTTGCCGAAATTTTCAGTAGGATATGGAAGGTCCTCCGGCTGCTCAGAGACTGATATATGTTCGGTGATGAGATCCGGCATTCGGTTCCTTCCCCGAGTGAACCAATTTCCGCTTGGAATCGGACCCTTGACTCCCACCGCAACGGGGGCCCTTCGAAGCGGAGAGCTCCTTGAAGCGGCTTGCCAACGACCCCCGCGAGCTCCTGATGGCGGAGTGTCGCGTCCTTGGGGGCTTGCAGCATGAAATGACGTATTCTATCGTCGCGGCTCGTGCTTCTGCATAGTACTCCATGTGTGTATCCGCTGCGCGGATCAGAAGCCGATGTTTGAAAATCCCGCGCTGGATGACAGCGATCAACGCAGCCGTATCGAAGCACACGCCGGGCAATATGTTCCATTTGCTGTCGGTGGTGCTGGTCACTCTCGCGGCTAGAGGAGAAGAGCGGTAGTTGTAATACGGGTGGATGAGTATCCGGACTCTTCGGAATCCTCCGATCCGCCGAAAAATCGCTCTTTCCGGTGAGCCGTGATCCTCTGATCTGTGAACGAATCATCTCTGCGAAGGTGGGTGTTAGGAAAATATTACTGCAGCCAACACCGGTTGGGGTGTTTTTTCTACGTGTTTGAAAACTTTGTGTCGATTCAATGACGACGTCATCAGCTTGCCTCGGAAGCGACGTTTCCGAGGCACGATGCGATTTCCCCGAGTACTCCGTGGAATCATGCGGAGGAGTTTCTCGTCGGGTACCAGCGGCGTGTCCCGGTAACTTTCTTACCGACTGTCAGCTGATCAGTTTTCGTCTATTTTTCTCTCGCCCAGTCGGTAAACTAGATACGGGTTGGTGAGTGCTTTGCGCTCCATGGTCGAACTTCACGTTTTTGGTCACGTGTGTGGCTACAACAGGAGATCCGCGGCTAAGGTCTCTCAGCGATCGCCGGTCTCGACAGCCAATGAATGCCTTCGTGAGGACCGCGAGAATTAATCGGCTGTTCATGCTGCTTTCATTGCGGTCGGTTCGATTGGGGAGGACGGAAGAAAACTCGTTGCTCCCTCGAATGATCCGGCGTGATTTTCCGCTTACTGTGTAGTTCGCAGATTCCCATTGTTTTGGCGACTGTGACGTCAACGTCACTTGTGCGTTTCAGTAGAGTACAACCGTGTCAAGGCCCATATCTGATCTTGTCGCGCCTATACCTCGCCATAATTCTTTGAATTTCGGAGAATCCTCTCCCCGAAAATTCCTCAATTCTTTATCTGGTTCTAAAATTCAGCGGAGCTGGGCTGCACGCATCGATGTCCGAGTGATATTTTCCACCGGCCGAATGTCAGTAGTCCTACTCTGATTGACGAGGATAAGCGTGAACTAATTATGCTCAGCCGATAGATGAGTTGCTGTGAGCGGGATCGAGGCACCGAGTTCGGCATCGAGACCTCTAGAAGACTTCCACGGGGAAATGAACTCTCAAGAGCTCCTAGGCATGTGGCGATGGCTGATAGCGGCGAGCAAGTGCCCATCAGACGCTCCGGACGCTTCTGTGAAGAAAATTGCGTAAGACAATCAGTGTTCCGTTCGCATTGTGCGTCCGCAGTCCCGAATAGCGTTCTCGGAGATGGCTCCGACCTACAATAGGGAACTCATTTCCGTCAGAGCGGTCGTATATCCGCTCCACGCTTGCCGATTTTTTTATCTAGCTAAGCCCAAGTTGACTTACTCTGTCTCCTGTTCAGAGCTCGCATACGATGCTGTCTAGTTGCCGTCTTCTGGGAAACCCCAATAAAATGTGATGGGAAGAACGTGGCCCTCCCGAAAGCGCGTATTTTCAGTGTCGGAACCGCTTATTGAAGCTGATCGCGACCAATAATTCTGAATTGGATGAGCCATCTGTTCACCCGAATCTGAGTCTCCTGATCGACCGTGGCCGCATCGACTGTCCGGAGCTATTGATCGTCGGGAGCCACCATACGGTTTTCCAGATGGAGAGGGAAAGTCGCACAGCGTGTAAATTAGTACTTTCCTCCTTGTTTCCCTCTGAGGAAAAGTCCTGCTCGCGAAAACCCTGTCCGACTTCTGTTGGACCTCGTTCGAGTCTGTGAACGGAGAGTTCGATCTCGTTGATCGGCAACAACGCGACGACGATGCGAGTCGGCATGACTCGAAGCAGAACTCTGATTCCGGCCAGAAGCAGCATCCGAGTCATTCGATTCTCAAAGGCTGTAAAATAATTCGTATTGAGTCGAGGTCCCATGCACTCGTGATCTCTCCCGAGCTCTCCTTCTCGAGCCTTTCCACTTTCCGTATCTCGACAGACGACATTGATATCAGGTATTTTGGTGTTTGTGAAGTCTCCGGGAGAGTCGGCTTCAGGTTCGCTGCGCGACAATGATGATCGCCCATTGAGCTTTCGAGAATTTCGAAGGTCCGCGGCTCGGCGAACAGATCATCGAAACACACAATCGGATGGAATTGATCGTGAGCGATCCAATGAAGTTGAAAAATAGAGATTCGGACGCGGAACGCCGACGTCGCGCTTAGCGAACATGTCGTGGACAGTTTTCGATGTTTGCATCGCGCATTATTGTGCCAGAGTGTTATTGTTGCTCGATGGCCGGCGGCTGCCGTTGCCGCTCTTATATTTGTGAACCTGAGGCCGCCAGACACGCGACAACTCGCGCGCCGTCTTCGGTACGGCGGAAAAATGACAACAGTAATTGACATCCCCCAGCTGATAGCCTCCCAGGTGACTCCTTCTTCCCAGAGAATTCTCAAGGGCGTTCTAAGGGGGAGAATTTCCACTCGGTGGTTCTGGAACGGGTGGGGGCTTCCACGATATCTCAGATCATTATTGTTGTTGTCGTTGTGTTCTATCCTCCTCAACGCTCTCGCGATCATGTTGGGCTCCGGTGAGTGATCTCCGATCGTTCTCAATTCCTTGGGATCGCGCTTGGAGGCCTTCTTCCGAATTCAAAACAAAGCAGTTCTCGATGTGATTATCGACCACCACGGATTTTGTTCGATATGACTCCTAAGGAAGTTGAAGGTGGAGGATCGATTTGAACTCAGTCAGCTCTGAGTCTTTCCAGAGAAGTCTCTGATCCAGATTTACACACTCAGAGCTACCAACGAGCTATGTAAGTGGTGAGTTGTCATCCGATCTCAGATGATGCTTTTCATCTTCCAGATCCGAAAATTGGAAAAGTGGGAATCAGAAAGACGTGCGCGCGAAGCAGAATTGTCCTACTCCGACTCCCCTGGCTCCGATCTGACGAAGTATAGGTGAGTCTCGCCAGGACTATCTCATTCTGGGATCCCGTTCGCGCAACGCATACCTCTGAGCATGTGGAAGACTAATAATAATCAGAAACGAAAACTCCAAAACCTGGATTGAGTGAATGACCCGACCGTATCCTTCTATTTGATACTCATACGGAATCCGAATTGGCAGCTCGTTCTCCGAGAGTGAATCCCCAACGGGTACACCTCAAGTGGATTTCTTCTGTGGCAGCTGTGACGGATCTCTGTACCAGATGAGTTTACTCCAGGGAACCACGGGTCGTTCCCGACAGAACGCAGCCAACAAATCGCTCAATGCAACGAATATAGAGACAAAATCACGAGGTCGGTAGGATCGCAGCTCGGAGGTTTCCGAACGACGATGACTCAGGTACTGGGTCACATCCGGGAGAGATATTTCCCACTTACCGTTTCCCCATCCTTCCCATAGGCGACCACGCCGAGATGGCGACGCACAGTGTCATTGATCTACGGACCGAGCGTCAGGGTATCGTTTTATGGAAACGACCCCTGACGACGACTCATTACTTCGTCGCAGAACTTGTGGGGCTTCTCGGAGATCTCATTGCCAAGTAAGCGTTTAGGCGAGACACGACTCCATCGAAGGGGAACCTCATCGGACGTTATCAGCATGGTCTGGGTTTTGGAATTTCTTCAACGTCTCTGAAGTCCATGCTCACTTGCAGGCTTTGGCGCAATAAAGGTCGAGTGTGTGTAGCTCTCGTAGCCTTCATCATGTGCGTGGTGGCGTATCGGCTCGAAGGTGGACATCAACATTACATCAAGCCCATGGAGCGGACGTTTCTATGGTGCATATACTGGGTTGGGCTGGGTGTACTCTCGTCCATAGGATTGGGGACAGGCCTGCATACGTTCCTGCTGTACTTGGGTCCGCACATAGCCGCCGTGACGTTGGCTGCATCAACGTGTAAAAGTCTTAATTTTCCTGAACCGCCTTATCCGGACGAAATCGTTTGTCCCGAGGGAGAAACCGGAGATGTGGCGCCTGGCATCCTAGCCATCATGTCTAAGGTCAGACTCGAAGCCTTCATGTGGGGCGCGGGAACCGCCCTAGGAGAACTACCTCCTTATTTCATGGCACGAGCGGCTCGAATTTCCGGTGAGATGGACGAAGAAGAGCTCGAAAATCTCGAGAAGATCAAGGCTCTGGAGAAATCCGATCGCACCCAGCTATCATTATGGGAGAGAGCCGAAGTTGCCGTGGGCAAACTCATTGAGAAGGTTTGTAGGCGAGCCCGACGGCATCGAGAGCGAAACGAATGACAGCAGAGATCATTCTCTGAAGACAGCAAAAAATGCGAGCCTGGCTCACGGCTCCGAACCTCTTCCAGATCGGCTTCTGGGGCATCTTGGCGAGCGCATCGATCCCCAACCCGCTGTTCGATGTTGCTGGATTCATGTGTGGGCATTTCCTAGTACCCTTTAGGACGTTCTTCGGGGCTACCCTTATCGGTGAGTTCGAGCATCCTACAACGCCATCCTGAGACTCATCCATCGCCGCTCGACGGTGATCCCGACCCATTCATGAGTCTTTATTGTTCCATTGATCCATACGATCCGATGCGACACTTTATCACAGTATGATATCCCTTTCATCTCACGGACGATTTCTCAGCAGATCGGGATTCGTTCTCGCATCGCTCGAGTAGATCCTTGGTATTTCGCAGCACTCCAGGGTCCGGGACCTCCTAAAGCCCCGATTCCTTACAGAATTGCCCCAATATCGAAGTGATTATGAGTGCTTTTTCTCATGTGGAACTCTATTGCTTTCCAGGCAAAGCCGTCATCAAGATGCACATCCAGAAGTTGTTTGTGATTTTTGTATTCGATGAAGCAACCGTCGAAATTCTGCTCAACCTGATCAAGTGAGTCGGGGATCAACGTATCGGGACTATTGTTCGGGATAGTGGACGATCAGCTCTCGTTGTACTTGGGAGGACCACACAATTGGTGAATCTTCTCGGATGAAGAAGTGGATCGGGCTCTTACGTCTTGATCGTCTTTTCAGGGGAGTACCCGGAATCGGACCCCGCATAGAAGCCCCCTTCGAGGAGTTTTTGCAGAAACAAAAAGATAAATTCCACAGGAGGAGCGAAAGCTCTGGCGACGGCGACTCGATGGTCTCTCAGGTTCGTAGATAAAACCTCAATCGGCTGCATTCCTCCCTCATCATCTGATGGTTCTCACTATTCGATCTGAAGCGCAGTTGAAATATTCGATTTAATATTTTTAATACGAATCCCGTTTTTCCTCCGTAGGCCTTCGAGAAGTTCGTGCTGCTCATGGTGTTGTATTTCTTGGTGTCGATCGTGAATTCGATGGCGCAGAACTACCATAAGAGAATCAACCGCAAGCACTCGGCGAACCATGCGAAAAAATATTAAAGACCTACACTGTTATTGTATCGGCGTCTGATGTATGTTATACGCAGGAGAGCATTTGATCGATGAGTTGGTTGCTGCAATCTGTAGAACTCTGTACGCCCGTCGAGACTCGGGCCCAGCGGTGCAATTCTGAAGCCGGTTGCATCGAAACGAGCGACCGCTTCAGCCCTGGTACTGATTGTGAATACACAGGCACAGAAATGAATTAATTACGATAAGTATAGGAGAACGAAGAGGTGACAACGGACACAAACATACCGATAAACAAAGAGACTTTTATCCATCAACGTCAGGCGTATGAAAAAGTCTGACCCGGAGTCAGAAACAAAGAGGTGAATGTGCGGAATGCGTGCCTGCCCGTGTGAGGTCTTTGTGGAAGCGAGGGCGTTCTCTTTTCAACTCAGTGACATTCCTTAGATTCTTCAGTGGGAGTTCGTCCCTCAAGCTCAATGCTAATATCTTCGATGCGAAATCCGACTGAAATCCGTTCCCACGGTAATGGCCGGGGCGGATCGAACCGTTCTGTCTAAGTAAATGTGGAAGATGAATTCTGTTTTTTCTGTTCGGGCCGATTTCTAGTGATCACCGTGACTCCTCAGGTTTCCAGGAAATCTTCTAGCGCTCTGAAGCTCGATTCATTCGCTCTGAAGTACAGATCTGCCGGGAGTATCCTCAGTTGTTTTGAGTTCCAATGCGAGTTTACGTCCCGTCGGCTTCCTGATCTAGATAGTATCATAGGTTCGAAACGAATCGCTCCGAAACAAAATAGAGCCTTATGCCAGTGCTGATGAGACGCTACAAAAAGTTTTGGAGCCGGGCTGACTGTACTGCATGATGAACGGGGAGGTCAAAGATATCTAATCATGAAGCCGGCTCGGATCTCCTCCAGAACGTTCGGAAGGCCGTGGAGTTCAACTCGGGGCGCAATAGTCAAGTCCACTCCTCCAACGAGACTCTTCGTGTGAGAGGAGTGCTCCACCAGCTGATTTTTCGATGGCAGGCCGCGGAAGATAATCGATTGGAGAAGTGAGAGGTCGGTGGAGAGGATGAACGATAGCAATGGGGAAGAGGAGCTCCCACGATTTAGGTACCTTATAAGATTTTGGGAGCTAATATGGAGATCGTCGGAGGCAACAATAACAAATTATTTTGTGGGGGGAGAAGGCGATGCCGGATGTACTGTGAGAAAATAAGTTCCCTGATGATGGGGTGTTCTCTTTTTGGCGAATGCGTGATTATAGGTTTTTTTTTTCGGGTTAAGATCTGTCATTGTCTGAGGTTGAGGGTCGCACAATCTACACTCGATGTTACCGAAGTCAATACAGACATGAAGCATAATAAAAACTGCAGACTTGACAGCTGCTCATTTTCTTCGCTCTGTCTCGAAATCCAGCTCCACGGGCGGTCAGAGTCGATCACCTATCGAGCGGCGGACTCAACCCTGATTCGATCGATCGCGAGAAGGAGGCGGTTCGTTCATTCCCTAGAGCTGTTCTTTATTGGTCGTTGTCACAGGCCTTGGATACGATGAAGTCTGAGATGCGGCTTCAATTTTTCCACCCGTCGAATCTCTTCCTTGTAATCCATAGCGCTAGCTATCATATCGTGTCTGGTAATCGTATGCTCCGATCCCTCTGGAACTCCTGAGCGTAAGAGTGGCGTCGTAAGCCATCTGGATCGGGACCGGAGGCGAATGTCCATGTTTTTCCGCCCAGCGTCGCTGACAAGCATAAACAAAGGCAATTCAGGCGCAGAATCGCAAGTTTTGGTGCGCAGAACATACACCCGATTCCGACACTGGTCATCATAGTCGCGGGAGAATCCCGATGGATGGCTAGAGCGTCACGTTGGGCCGGTCACGCCGCCTGACCAGCATCAGCTTGAAGAGCCACGTGAATGCAAAGCATGCGTTCGCCACGCAGAGTACCCGATACAGCTCCTGGAACATAAAGAGAGGATATTTCTTGGAGGCTGCCCATGATTGACAGCTGAGGTTTGCAGTTTCTCGATCCGATTCCGCTCATGCGACCCCGCTCGCTTACTCTGTAGGATCCCTGGCCGTCCCGGTAAACGCCTGAAAAGAGAGAATGATCCGCTTTGACTTTCACGATATATCGTATGATGTCGTTAATTACGTTGTTCGACATCGTCGAATCTGAGCGTGGGAGACCCAATCGCCTCGGCGGACCCAAGAGGGGTGGAGCACTCACCAATCACGAAGGGTCTGATCAACATCAAGAGACCGCAGATACACGAGGCGATTGAAACGTTGAGCGTCAGTCTTCGCAAGCCGAAACTTTTAGTAATGAACATCGGCAGCAAGAAGATCCTCGCTCCGTGTGAGCAGCCCATTCCCAGAGCGGTGAGCACAAGCGCTATGTAAGAGCGGGAGTGCATCAAGCATTGGAACATGGCACCTGAAAAAAAAATGCCCATGAGACGGCACTGGTCCTTGACGAAACCATGCATCGCATAGCCGTCGCAGGTCGAGACTACGATTCCACAGCGATGACGGCTGCTCGCGATACTCGTCTTTCCGTTCCCAAGTCTTCATTCGGAATGTTTGAGGTCCTCCGTGACTCACTCTGCAGGGAACAGGCGACTAAAACGATGAGCTCCATCGGAAGAAGATCTACATCCGCAATGTATCCTGTGATAAGTCGAGCCATGAGATCGCCCAAACAGAATGCCGACACCAGATATACCGATACGTCCGTTGTGAAGCCCTGCGTCGGAGGAATCGATGAAAAGGAATGGTCCTGAGGATGTTCCGGGAGAAAACGGAGTCGGTCGTGTATACATAGTTATCACGAACCTTGTCCGTCGCGAAATCAAGAATGGTCAGCAGAAAAACCCCGAGGCACAGTTGCACTAGGAATTGGGACAGTGTCAAGTGCCAGAAGGTGATGGTGAGGAAGGGCCGGACTCGTTTCCATAGCCTGTATCTGTCGATGAGGGAAAGAGGGTTTATTCCGGGGATATATCCGTGGGCTTAGGGATCAATCAGGGACCCCATGCAACACGTGAGCTTCAGATCTGTCGGAACATTCCCAGCTCGTCTCAACGCACCGCCTGCTGTCGTGATACTCGCAGGGTCCTTCAGAGGAGCACTCCTTGATGCGTCGGACTTTCGGCAGCTTAGGCATGCGATTTATGGTGGTCGAGCTCCGGCGGAACTCCGAATACAAAGTGTAACCGGTCGGAATGTGCGGAAAGGGCATCAGAAGAACCTGTTAGCGAAAGTATTGCTGGAATTTTTTCCTCCCGGTAGACCGTCCGTACAATTCATCGATTTGGACCGCAGAAAGTCGAACCTGACTCGCGCTGGGGTCGGCGTTCGTTTGCGCTGCCGCGGGCTCAGCATTCACCCCTGTTGGAGCTTTCACTGGAGCCGCTTCATCTCCAGGCTCCACGACAATCTTAGCTCTCTCTCGACCGTCTTCGGCCCCGTCTCGTTCCTCCTCGTTGTCCTCGGGAAGAACAATCTTCACTTTATTCGTCGTGGGAGCACTCTGGAGGTCTCTGCGGATGGTGCTGAAGTCGAGTTTCCCGTCGCGCTGTATGAACTTCGAAGAATCGTTGATCTGATGTATGATACTCGCCAGCTGGACTTCGGTATCCACCTGCGATGCGGGACAACATCAGTCGAATCATCGGGAATCGGCGCGTTTACCTATCCACTCTGAGCCGCGAGCCTCTGAACGAGCTCTCCCAGAACTCACCTGAGACGTAGCGACACCGCCGCCCTCACTGACGTAGTATCTGATATCCCCCTGATATTGTTTCTTGTCTTCTTCGTCTTCCGAAGAGTCCTCCTCCACTTGCTCTTGAAAGTGATTTATCCAACTGGCCAAACCTGTGGATGCCGAGTCATGGAATCGCAGAGCGCCAGAGAACGACAGCGAATCATCGATCGGGAAGGAGCATCCGGGTACCGAAATTAGGCGATGACCTCGATCCATCCGCGATGACGAGGATGTCGGGTCTTAGAGATGTCGATCGCTCCGGGATTGCCCCCTTTGTTTATCGGAGAGTTTACCTTTGTTGGCGACAACCGCGTTGTTGAAAATGCTTTTCCGTCGCTGCTTAGGATCCTGAACCATCCAGGACGGCGATCTGACCGAGAACGAGAACGCCAAAGCATTCAAGACGCATCCGCCGAGCAGGAGCATCGACCAGTGGAGACCGTATGATCGGAGAGAATACTAATGAACGGAAAGAACTTGGTCACGTCGTGAAATTTCTCCTGTGAGTGTGTTTGGGCGGTATGCTGACCATTATATCTTATTCTCATTGACTTACTTCCAACAGAGGGGGGAAAACAATGCCGTTTATCGCTGCTAGAGCTTCCACAACACCGGCTGCAGTTCCTCGTTTTTCGACGAAATGCTGATTTATGCAAACCTGCGTCATCAGCACGGCGCCGCATGTCGCAGCTCCTGAAATAGTATCGAACCTTGAGCCCCCTGATGACTAGCGAGAGATTTGATCAAGTGAACCCCTTCGGCCCCGATTTGCTTAGCTCACCGTGGACGACGCCAAAGAGTACGGACAGCCAGAAGATATCCGGAGCGAAATAACACAAGGCTACCGACAGAGCCGATAGAAACGAAGACACTATTATTATGATTCTGATTGGTAGCCGCCTCGATAGTAAACCAAAGACAGGTCCTGTAAGGGGAACGAGATGCTCCAGTAAATGCGCCGAAGATCTCCTTCTGGTATCCCGGAAAGTGGGCGGAATCGGATCGGGAAATCGTCTGGAAATTAATTACTATTCGTGTTCGAGCTACGTCCGCAGCCTTAGAACTGTGAGAGGCATATCTTCGCGGGAGAAAGCGTCGTCCGTGATTGATTCTCCAGCTCATCTGTCTGGGAGTTCGCTCGAGCTCCGTGGAGCATCTGGGATTCGTCATGAATAAATAATTCCTCGACACTGGCACGAGTCGTTCCGCAGTCGCGAGAGGGCCTATAAGCGATCCAGAGCCGAAAGAAATAGAGATATGTTTACGAGGAGCTCCATTGCCTTCCTGGCGTGTGATGAGTTGCTGGTGACACTCGATCCTTCTGTGAAGAGACCTCTTCACTCCGAGGACTAGGTTCGGGAGCGATGATGAAATCGCCAGACAAAGCCGCATCCTTGAGCTGATTCGCTGTCCATGGAGCTGACTTTCCGCCCTGAGTAAGCTTGTCAGCCCGAGTAGCAGACAAGTCCCGTGATTGAAAAGAGGTTCACTGTCTCGCGACCGACCGAGATGACTCGATGAGGTGTTTCGCTCAAATCTCTCATCCATCAATTCCTGTGGACGACTCATTTTCCTCCAGACCGGCATTCGTCGCCCGGGGAATCCACGATTCCATAAATTCCTGGTCCTACAGCGAGGAACCTGCGCTCACCGAGTCCGGGACCGACGGAACGGGGACTTCGATTTCGCAGTCGTATCGCGAGGGTGTTTCTTACAGACGAGTTGGAGGATGTTCGAAGATCGGTGACTTCTCGGAGAACTGGTCCTCGAGACTGGTCTGATTCCGGAAATCTCTGGATAACCTCTAATTGAGAGGGGAAAGTCTTGATGTGGAACACCGAATCTTCCGACTCGAAGCTCTAGTTACTGTTACGCTCTCTCTCTCTAGCGAGAGAAACGCTGGCAGGTGCGATTCATGGACGGTATCCACTCATAATTTAATGCGGCGGGCAACCCCGAGCGGCTCTGATATGTTGCGGCTTGCGGCCAATAAACTCCCGTACTCTATAGACATCGCGAATACCACCGACAACCGGCGACAATCGGTGAACAATCGCTCGCTGCTTGAGAAGGCTCATTTGACACCGATGGAAGCAAGAGCAGTGGCTTGAACAGCGATCAAGACCACCTCATACGAATCGCGGGAGTTGTCGGCGAGGAGCGAGCTCATGCATGAATCAGTCACGCTGTAATCGATCCTGGTGAAAGCTAGAGCCGCTCTCACACTTAGGTTGTGTCTATGAACGTATCCACATTGGATACTCTACGGGAGCGACGTCGCGTAATATCCATGGGAATCCGAGGCTGATAGAATCGGAAAACTTCGTGGAGGATTTCGTGAATTCCGAGCTCCAGATTTTCCGGAGAACAAGGGTCGGATTCCCATCTAGAGCTGAAACTCTCAACTGCTCGTGAGCAAGCATAAGTCATGTTCTCGCGAGTGAGCGATCTTGTCGGTCGGCAGCCGACCGAGTGTCAACCCTGTCTATGATGAGTAGGTTTCCGCGCGCGATCCCGCCCGCGAGGTCACATATGGATGTTGATTGATGACTACATCGTTGCTAGGATTCGAGCCCTGCCTCCCTTAGTTCTTCTCTTGGGACACGATTTATGTATGCGATCACGCTCTCCATCCTTCTCTGTCATCTCTACCTCCCTTCACTGATTCCTCTCCTTGACGTGACTGATAAAGCGAGAGAGAGCATCGAGCGTGGTCGTTCGAGCGGTGTCAAGTCACCGTTTTCCCTCATCCGAATAGAAACACTGAACCGTGATTATTTGATTATTCTATGGACGAATTCTCAATTTCCAAGGAGCAATTAATTTATCGCCTTTCCATCCCGTCTTCCGCGAAACAGATGTTGGGACTCAGACTGGGGCCCCAACTCGGACTCTGCAGCTTCCTCCGAGACCTATGCATCTCTGATTCGAGGTCCCATCCTGTAGGCTGCACCGAAAAAATTCGCCTCACAGGAAGTAAGCCATGGAATGTCGGCGCTTGCATTCCCGAGCTCTTGACTTGATGGAACCTGATCCCCGTGGGATAATATCGCGGGATCTCTGGCGCTGCGCGGTAGGAAGTCGCTCAAAGAGATCACACAGTGCTTAGGTGGAGTGCCATCGGCGGCGTCGTTGTAATAATTGTAGATGTCGTAATCGATATTTGACAGGGGCATGGTAGACTCTCACCGCTAGTAAGCAAATATTCGCAGACAGGGCCGACCGCTCGGAACATTTCATGTCGTAACTCTCCGCCGGACGGGTTGCTCGCGGTGGAGATTGCCCCCGTTTACAGAAAACGAACCGTCTCAATATTCTCGAGGAAACCCGATGTGAATGAATGGTGACGACGGAGCTTCTAGTGGGTCTTAATGGCAGAACCGCAACTCCGGGCAAATGGATGCACAAGGACCGCTAAGAAACTTGTGAAAGTGAAGAGCTCGATCTTTTTAGATTTCTCACGACATTCGACCGAGTTCAACAAACGAGTCTTGGCTATTTCGCGCATACAGTCTAGTGTCTGTGTCTGGACGTGATCTGGATGCTCACGAGTTCGGACTTGTTGTTATTGTAAGTGCTACATCTAATGGCGGCGCCGCGGCTATCTTACGAGCAAATACGAGCAGCGGAGTGATGTCTCAATTTGGAGCTTTTACGACTATTAAGTGATAGAACCAGGTTCGTCTCACGAATAATGTCGCGACGGAAATTCACTGACCAGGCGACAGCTTCAGAGGCCTTGAACATCAGTTTGGCTGAATCTCTCTGCCGAGCGCCCTATTTCTTCGGAAGACGAAATTCAAGGGCCTAGCATATCGATCGAGTCTAAATTCGATTTGGAAGGGGGCCTGTCGATCGTGAGTCGGGTTACGGTAAAGCTCTTTCTTTCGAAGTCCCGATCAATGATGATCGTTGATCACAAATCACCGCCGGTCAAATCGGAGAGACAGACTCGGCGCGAGGCGAATCCGAACGCCAAATCATCTCAGCACTCTCTGCTCGACAGCTGGTGGGCCCGTGAAAAAGTGTTGAGGAATGTACGAGTCCGCTTCCGGCATCGACGATCGCTTCCGATGCTCGCCCTTGTCTCTTTGGACGGACTTGCGTGTATTTGCATTTTATCAGCGCCGAAAGAGCCTTTCCATGTCGAACAAAAGTTTCTCACTGCCTTATCTCACATCCGAAGGCTCAGCGGAGGAATCGATTTGTATTCGGACTTCTCCAGAGCTGTCCCGTGTTCGAGAGAGCGAGGGTCCTCGCCAAGGCCGCTCGAGAATCATATTTCAGACGTGCTAACCGAGCAGTGGTAAATAATCTGATAAGCCTGTGGCATTCATCTTGTCTGTCAGTGTCTCCCTCCTTCTTTCGTTGATCTTTATCTACTGTTTACATTTTCCGCTACATCTGGTTCCCCTCCTGACTGGGCGGACCGGAAAAAGATTTTCTCATTGAGGAATCACGGAGCTCTCGAATCTCTGCGATCGATCGCTCTCGCTCGGATGCTACAAACTGAGTGCCTCCAGCAGCTTGTCGCACCAAAACGGTGTCTTTGACGCAGACAGGGAGCGTCGTCGAGACGGTCTGAGCAACCGTTTCGGGAGAAGTTTATGAAGCTCTGTCCTGAGAGAATCGGTGATCGAATCCAATCTGGTTCTCTCGTTGAGAAAGCGTCACAAGACGCGACGCGAGACGGACTCTCGGCTGAGGAGAAGCACGTCCAGCGAAAGAAGTCTTCAACAGAAATCCGTCCGGCTGTACCCTTCCGTTTCGATGGCAGCTCGAGGTGGGCGTAGTGATTTACGGGGCTATCCCATCGAAATCTGAAGAAATCAGTCGGATGCGTAGACGTTACAGACACGAGTTATCACTACGCATTCAGTTGATGCCGTCTCAAGCTTATTCGCTCAATCAGGGAACTAAAAACGGGTCCGGAAACGTACGGAATACGAAAAACTCGGTTCCATTCCGCTTCTCGCCTATGATGCCGATCCCTTCCGGAACGCCGAATCCGAACCGCCGAATGGGGCACGACTGTCGACTATAGAATAATAATCAAAGTTCCCCAGCTGATCAAGAGCGCGATATTCCGACGAGTCGTCGGAAAACCATGTCCTTGACTCGGTTTCCGCTTCCGGTCGACTTCCCGGTATGAAAAGAGTCTTCTCTTCGAGGGATCCGAGAGGCAGAGCGCGGTATCAAATCCCGCTGCACCATCTTTATTAATGAAAGACGCCAACCGCAGTGAAGTCCGCTCTACATAGATACTAACCTGCAAGATGAATAAGCGTGGTGTGTAGGGCGAAAGGCCATGCGGCCATCTGTCGGGAACATTTCAACTCGGCGATCCAAGCTACGAAAAGTACACCCACAACCTGGAAACAGGGGAGACGTAGAAGCCGAGATTTTCCGAAAATTTGGAGCTCGGGGGAGCTAGTGAATCATGGAAAACCGATGCTGTCCGACCGCTCCACAGGCTCACGTCCCTCGGATGGGCTCGCGGAGGAGGAACTGAGTTGACAGGAGCAGGCGGGAGCTCGATGATGCTCGGGCCAAGCAGCGAACCTCGCGAGAAAACTCCAGATCCGAGCGCTGAGTTGCGAAAGACACGAGAACGGACAGGGTGCCGTACCGTCTAATCTCCGAGTGAGAGAACTCGAGAAGCCCGAGCCCCGAATCAAATGGAAGTAAATTCACCTTTGAAGAGCCATGCATGAACAAGTTAACTCCCCCGCAGGCCAGAGCAACGAGCCACGAGTACTTCGAGTCTGGGCCGCGCTTGCTCGTGGGGAGAACCACTTTACGCTCTGGGCGACACGATTGCCGTCGCTCCTGTAACCTCGGCACGGGTACTTCCAATTGTATTGAAGACATCGTCGGCTCGCTACGTAGAGAGCACCAATTGAAAGTTCACTTCGAGGCTTCGCACATGCGGACGTCTTGCCCTCATTTGCCTTCAACACTGGTCGAGCGACAGCAAGCACATTTACGAGATCGGGAAAGACCGCTAATCCGAATCGTTTTTTGAATGAACAGTCTCCAATCGCTTATCACGAGGATCGTCTCGGCCGCCGCCAGCGTCTGACACCACGCTGTAACAACACAACGAGTAATAAATACGAATCACCTGACGGTCGGACAGCCGTCAGCGGTCTGATAACTTCGATCCTCACCTTCTGTACGAGTGGATAGAAACCGCGCGTAGAGTGGAGTCGTCCATTGTCCTTATTGGCGTGAGAGCGAACGCGAGGAGAGGGGATCGTGGCTCGCGCTTTCCCTGGGATCGCTTCTCTCAGCGGGATGCATGCGGAGTTGATTTCGGTACGGTCTCCATTATGCTTCTCGATTCTCGCACATGACCCGTCGAGTGTTGTGCGGGTTTTCCTTCGAATCTACGGGAGATTCAAGGGAATGCCGAATCCCAGAGCTACCTCCTATGAGGCAACGTGAGCTACCTCTAGGCTGGATCGAGCAGGATTTTCACGCCAGAGGCGATTCACGATCGGAGACCTCCTCCACTGGTCCTCCGCTTGCTTCTCCAGCTGACTCTGCGGAACTTGCGATCGTATCTGAATGCGCGAAGGCGGAGATACTTGAAACATATCGTACGGCGGAAATGAGTTGAAGGGTCCATCGAGGAACGGCATGTGGTGCCTTGTCGACTTCGCCTCCATCCGACATTGATCCAAAAAAAAAACATCGAGAACCCCGTAATAAAAGCTCCGAAAGTATATCTTCGATGGATGTCCCACCCGAGGTCGAGTCAGGGGCAGGTAACAGGACGGGAGCGAGAGAAGGAGCGATCAGGACAGTTCACAATCCAGTCTGAAAGGTACTCGTTGGCCTTCAATGGCGATTCTGAATCCTAAATACTGGTGTTTTCCCCGCACACGCGCCATGGTTGTCGTTGTCATTCAGGAGGCCTCATTGATGGTACTCCGACAGAGAGCTCTTGAGGCTGATCGTATCTGTCGAATCCACTCACTCACTCATTTACGACGCTCATTCGGTGTCGTACACTGTGATCCGCTCTGATCGCCTCGGAGGGTTCGAGGAGCACGCGAAACGACCCGCACTTACATCTACAGGCTCATTGGTGAGGATGGATGCCTATTTTTTTCAATGCCTTCCTTGTCTCCTCCGTCTCATCCCAGATTCCCGCCTCACACCAATCATTTCATCCCATAATTGGCGGAAGGCCTCGACTTCTTTGGCTCGATTGATTAAGGGGTCCCTCCGCTCATTCCTCAACTACAGCATTAGGAGAGCTTTCGATGTCAGAATGGAGATTTTCCCTTGAATTCGGAGCTCCGAGTTCCACCGAAGTTCGCAGGTTCCCGTCTATCGGAGGCTCTCTGAGGATATCTCCGATTTTCGTTGCTCATCAGATTCCGCTCCGAGTCTTCATGCCCCACCGCGACAGAGATCATCAGATTCAAACGCTGCATACAAACCTGGTACCCGCATGCATGCAATAAGAAGTCGGTCACGACAATCAACAGCCCGCGACGTGCAGGCCGGGAAGACGTGCATACATTGAAACGCGCGGTGCAGCTCTCGCATCGGAGTCCCGTCTCGTGCTCGGAGAGTGCCAGTGACTTCATTCTATCCTTCACTCGGTATCCGTGGTCCGGAGTCGCATTCAAGCATGCCGACACTCAACTTCAGTGGCTTGCCTGAAAACTGTCGCGTCGGATCGGGCAGCTTGACGCTCAACCCTGCCTTGACAGAAATCTTGAGGCCATGCCATGTGTGCGGTAAGGTCAACATTGAGAATCAGGTGTGCACTTCGGGCCATAGCTTCTGTCCCGACTGTATAGCTCCTTCGCTTCGAAAATCCACGAGGTGGTGTCTCCTCTGCAAAACAATGACCAACTTTCTCCGCGTCGGCATACCGTTCGATCTACTCGCGAAAATGCCGTTTTCTTGTGCCTGCAACTATTCTGGATGTCTCGAGCAAATAAAACAACATTTGGAGCGAACTGCGATTCCGGAGGTGTGCTTCAACAAGAGAAGCAGTGCGACCCAGCCACCGCGGCAAGTGACCCAGACAGCGCGGCAAGCGACCCCAGCGTCTCATGCCCGGTCCGCACCTTCGAACGGAAGCCCAGCTGTCTTGCTGACCCAGATAGCACAAAGCATCGCAGAGTTGAAAACGGTGAACGAGACTCTACGGAGTCTCCTCGACGAATCGCAGGCCGTCATTCAGGCCGTATCGACCAATCAGGTGTTTTTTTGCTTCAGTCTCTCGAAACTACTCAAGAGAGAACCCGTGGAACAGAGTAAGGTCGTAGAAGGCGTGCCTCTGACAGTGCAGATCAACGTCGAAGGTCTGGAGGACCGACCGTATTTTTGTGTGTCGGTCGGAGGATCGGCGCTCGATTCGGAGACTTCTCCATGGCCGCATAAAGACTGCATATCGGTGCGCGTTCACGATATGAACGGGAGAATTGTGCTGGGGTGGAAGATCCCGTCATTCGCGGGTGGAATGCGCGGGTCCCCTCCCGAAACGAGCGGTCCCCGCACATCTAAATACTTGTGTGAATTCTCGCATCTCGTTTCGGAGGAGGATATACTGAGACACTATCCACGCACCAGAGCAAAATATATCTTGATCTCGCTTGTGATTTGTGAACGCTTATCTTACAATTAGCCGAGGATCTCCTGTGTCGAAACGAAATACTCAGAGCTCCTCATACTAACACAGAAACATCGGTTCCGTAGTAAAATCTCTCTTCGGAAAAGAACAATTCAATGCTGAGCGCTGCGGTCGAACTAAGGACCTTGACTGTTTTTTAGAGCAAACTTGTGAGTTGATGTAATGTGAGGCCGTTCTACTTCATCAAGAATTTCATACCCATCTACAGTAAATAAAATGATTCCGCCTCCGACAGAAGGCACTTGAATATATTGGGCTTCAATTCCACCGGAAACAGCGCCTGGAAGGAAGAAACGACAGGTTCCGCTCCTTGACTGTTTATTAAAATGAATCATAGTCTCGGCTAGCGTTATGGATCGTAACGCAGGTATCACAGACGATCAACCCGCAGCTGCCGAGTGCATGTTGTCCTGTTTGTTGTTGTTTTCTGCTTTTTCGTTCACAGCTTTCCGATATCCTCGTTGCAGGCGTTGCAGGTGGTCTTGCTTCGGATGTTTTTCGAGATGACGGAGCTTGCTTTCCCGGCAAGCCACAGCAACAGCTGCAAAGAGCCGCTGCTATCGCTTAACCAGCAGCTGAACGCCGGCAGACGATGACTGAAGATGATGTTGGGATTATCGCTGTTGACTTTGCGTGGTACTCCGCCGCTGTGTGTCGATGGCTGTCCCTCGTTTGAGAGGGATCGCCGAAAGAAAACTATACCGGGAAGTGACCAGCTGGAAAAGGTGGCACTGTACAGTAGTGATCGTGTGGCGTCTATGGTGCCCTATTGGAACGGGCTTGTGCTCAAATTGTGCATAGTCGTCACTCGATATAGCCATCATCGTCATCAACATCATCATTTATCAGTGTTAAACTCTCAATCAACCACTTAACCGCTTTACAAAAATCCTCTATCAAACCCGTTGTCATCTCCTCGGATCGGAGTTTCTAGTTTGGTTTCACTCGACACAACGGTCGTTGTCGAACAACTTTCGTGAAAAGTCTCTCTTTCATGAATGCATCTCTTTCTCGCTCAATTTCTGCTCGTGACTACTATTCCGAGTGCTCGGGTCTCCTACTCGCAATTTTCCGATCCTGATTTCAACTATTTTTCATCATGATCACGGTTTCTAGCGCTATCTCTCACAGTCCAAATTGCGACGGTGTGATGACAACTCGTTCCAAAAGAGGGAGCCACTACAGAATTATTGAATAAATTGGTGTGATAATGATCATAACATAGATTATAAAATGTGATCGACCGTTTCCTGGAAGCTTCGGCGAGTCCAGCCACGGCGACTTTCGTCGCACGATCACGAGCAGGAAACGACCTCGCGAGCTAGCCTTGCTTGAGGAGTTTACTTCACGGCGAGAGGGGATACTGAAAAATTGAGCCGACGAATTATTATTCACCCTGCTCGAGTCCTGTTCGTTCTTCCTCCGCAGAGCAATCGGGATGGCAATTCGTCGGAATCGCGTTTGACCCAAGTAAACGACGGAATTCCAATGAAGACGCATGCTTTCAGTACTCACTCGGATCCGGATCTCAATGGTCGCAGGTCAACTCAGACGTTTCAGAACCTCGGCTTGCGGTATTTATCATCGACGTTCACTGAGCATACGCATGCAAATCGTTAGTTGGATACTTTCTGGTATTCGGGTCAGGATTCTCACGGTTCGTGATCGGATTGGCGCCGAGCGGGAATAGCTCGCCCATTCTCTAAACTGGGCCTTTCCTCGACACTTCCTCGTGTGACATTGAGATACGAAACGAATGCAGACTAACGATTGCGAACACGAATGAAGACACTCGAGGAACCATACACGACTAGGAGGACAAGGAGAACTCCGGGAGGGAGGGCATCACGCGGCTTCCTCGGTCTGAATTTCGTGGCTATCTGGCGAGTCGCGATTCCATGTACACCGCACCCGAAAGAATCCGCGTGGGAGAGTTTTCTTTTCTAAATAGTCTACTGTCGACCGGGGAGCTAGAGATGTTGCCGAAAGTTGTGCAGGTTACTAGAAGGTGGATAGCGTACGGAGAAAGGCCAGATGAACCTTGTCGGGTCCATCGAGTTCACTTACCGTGAAGTGACAGAACGATTACTGCGATGAGATCTTAGCGGTAGGAAACGGTTACAGGGTAGCACACAGATTGGTAGGGGAAGTATTAAACATTTGAGATGTTTCAGCTTTATTTTCATCGGGTAAAAATTGATTTTCTTGATCAACTACTCTAATGAGGACATTTGAGTTCTCTGGATAAATTCGTTCGCCAAATGGAATTTGTTCATCGAAAGATTCGTGGGCCTAACTCGCCAGCTCGCTCTCGGAGTGCTAGGACCCGTACGAGAATACAACCCCAAGGAGCTGCTCCGCAGCAACTGTAAACGCTCTAAACACTCTCACAAGAAAGGCTGAAGCAAGCATCACTCGGAAACGTCAACGATAATGACGATGACTTCTTGAAGAGCCTGAAGCCGAGCCGATTACATAATATTGACCGCGAAAAGCTCGAGATAAAATCTCATAATTCCGTTCGGTGGCATCACAATCTCTGTGTTTTCCGATAATTCGTTCAATCTAGCTTATATTATCTTTTTGGAAACGTGTTTGAATTCGCTGACTGGGCTCTTGGCCGACGGCGAAGCGCGAATTGATTCTCTCAAGCTCACGGCGTGAGGAGCACCGGCTGCGATGCATGTCGGACTCTGCTTCGATAGGCGGCTCGTGTCAGCCCGGAGTCGGAAACCCGCGTGTCGCTCCCGAGCGTGGAAGGCACATGAAACTCTCGCTCCGACGCTCAGATGACACTTCCAAGGCTGCACGCTCCATTCTGTTCCCCGAGGGAAAATGGGGAGGCATACACAAGCTTCCCGTTCGAAGCTCAGAAGCGGATACCCGTCCTAATATCACCAAGATGAAGGCGACGGGAATTTCTCCCATTTCCATTTCGCATTGACGGAGCAAATAGTCTTGCATAATACTCCTGAGCCGGCCTGGCTCCCGGCAGCTCGTACCGTTGAAAGTCCGACGAGGATACGTCGTCGTATTAGGGGGAACACCGGAAGGGAAAAATCGAGAGTCGCATCAATCTTGTACGCATTCCTCGACTATTTCACTGAGGAGCTCTTCGATACGGCGGCACAGATTCGCAAGCCGGAGCCGTCGGTATGGTGTATCGAGCGTACGTTCAATAAAGTTCATAGATATATGATATTGTCAGATGAAATGTTTATTCCTTAGTGATGAATCTTTGTCTCTCTTTTTGATGTCATCGATTTCTCTCATCTTCTTCCCCTTTTATCTCTGCCGTCTTCACCAGTATCGTCTTTGGCGTCGATTTCTCGAACTCTCTCAAAGACTGGTGGATAGCGTAATGGAATTCCCCTGATTCCGCCTAAATCACTCATATTTACACACACCTTTTCTTTGAGACTGTACAAAACGTTTGCCCCTGACTGTCGAACGGATAGCCGCATGGCCTTCATCAGACGCGCGGAAAGAAATACGTCTGAGACGGCTGGAGTTGATTTTCAGCCTCCTTCAAGTTCAGCGGACCAGTTCTTGTGCGCCATCCTTTTCCCTGGCCACGCAGACTTTCTCTCACCGAAACGAACGAGTTAAAGAGTGGTGAAGCAAACCGTTTGAGATCCGAAATGCTTGGATTGCTCCCAAATGGATTCTCAACATAAGAGGGAACGGACCGAAACTTTCATCGTACAAAAAATTCTTCACCATCTCTATCCAGAGACGAGTCCGCGTCCACCCCGATCTAATAATTCTTCATTCCATTCTCCCTTTCGATCGCATATGCGATCGATCGATTGCTTGATCCGACTGGGTCTGCCGTGGGTGCTGCGAGAGTTCTGAAGGCGTTTTCACGCTCGTAGGTCTCGAGTCACGATACCCGAAGCACACTATGATGACACCTGAGCGCTACTAGAGGTTTTCGTCGGTCGTGAAATGGAAGGTGACCGATCGCTCGGAGAAGAATTCACCTCGACTTTTCGATGCCTCGTTGCTCAGGTGCCGTCTAATCTCTATTCAACACTAGCTAACTAGACGACTGACCCGAGACTCAACCGCGACGCTTCCTTCCCTCTATCGCAAGCCGCGAGTCACGTACTGACCTGAACTTCTAAGTCTCAGAATAATTACCCGCGGAGAAAATCTCGCTGTTTCAGTTGGGAAAATTTGAGGGAGAGGAGAACAGGACTAGTACTGTAAGTACGCTGAGCTCACATCCCACGGCACACACAATCGGAAAAATTTCTCAGTACAAGAGCATGAGTGGTAGAGAAATCTCTCTAGGGCGACGAGAAGGAACGATAGGAGAAGAATGGTCGTGAGAGAACACGCATTCATATACGATTAGTTTGGGTGCACGCAACTGTCATACTGGAAACAGAAGTTCGACAATCAACTCTACACACAGACTCATCAAATACTGGCAAAAAAATCCTAAGAACACCAAGAGATAGGCTTGGAGACACTGCACACGAAGCGATCGATTGGACAGCTTGATGGGCTCTGACTGGCGGAGGGGGCGCAGGCCGAAGATACTCGGCGCTCCTTCAATTGATTTCGTTTTCAACTCAAGTGTTTTTGATCTCGTGTTGCTTATGTTTTTTTTGAACAGATGCGTCGTCGTCATTCTATTCTCACTTTTTCGTTCCGAGACAGCGAATCATGTTCGTGATAATGAAAGTAATTGAATTGTCGTTGTTGGTATTTGTTGCTGTCGCTTGACAAGGAGATTTGATAATCGGAAAAATTGGATATTATTTAAGCTGCTCTGCTACGACGCGGAGAGAAAAATTTCGAGAGTGTTTTTCTTCTCTTCTAGTAGAAAGGGGACCAGACTAGAACGGCGCCCAAGTACAGAGCCCATGCAGCGCCAAGGATCGCTCCTTCAATAATAATAGTATGCGTGTGCTTAGTCGTACCATCGATGTATGTCCTGGCGATGTACTTCATGGTTTCGTCCAGGATCACGACTGGGATAGACATCTTGCACACGGCTATCCATTCGGCCACGCTCAGAGGGCAGACGCTGAACACAGTCTGGAAAACAAGAAGACGCGCTTAAGCTCGGAGCTCCAATCGGGGGAGGGGCGAAAACAAGCGGGGTGGGGGAAGGGGAGAGGGGGGTGAGTATATTGAAGCCATGAGCGGAAAAGGGGGAAAAATAATACTCACATTCATGACATCGGTGTATAGCACAAGGAAGTGCAACGACATGGACAGAGACATGGCGCCGACGAGCCACAGGTTAGTCCACGGCGGCATAACTAGGAGAGATTGATTCTCAGAAAGAGAGTTGAGAGCATTCAACATCTCGATGAGCACAAGTACGGACAGGGCCATCGTCATCGGGTGCGGATCGCGGAATACGCTGCACTCGATATTCGCGAAGGCGGCGTTCTTAGGGTCGCATTGCAAGTGATGAGCCACTTGGTAGAACGAAAGATGCGGTCCATCGGGAGCGACCATGTACCACCAAGCTGAAGCGCCCACGGTAGCGGCACCGACGTATCCACCGATAGCCATGTAACGGAAGAACAGCCAACCGGAGATCAGGGATTCGTCAGCCTTGCGGGGTGGGCGCTCCATAATATCAAGATCTGGAGGATTAAATCCGAGAGCAGTGGCGGGCAAACCGTCAGTGACCAAGTTCACCCAGAGAAGCTGCACCGGGATGAGCGCTTCGGGAAGACCGAGAGCGGCGGTGAGGAAAATCGACACGACCTCACCGATGTTCGACGAAATCAAATAACGGATGAATTGTTTCATGTTGTTGTAAATGGCACGGCCTTCCTCAACGGCGGCGACGATCGAGGAGAAGTTATCGTCAGCCAACACCATCTCGGCGGCGGATTTCGCGACGGCGGTTCCGGATCCCATGGCGATACCGATTTCGGCTTTCTTCAGCGCGGGGGCGTCGTTCACACCGTCACCGGTCATGGCAGAGATCTCGCCATCGGCTTGGAGGAACTCAACGATCTTGGACTTGTGAGCGGGTTCCACACGGGAGAAGAGACGCGCGCGCTGAGTAGCGGCTCGCTGTTCGTCAATGGGCAAATCATCGAATTCACGGCCAGAGTAGGAAAGTCCGGTGGTGTCCTCGTCTTCGGTGAAAACACCGATTCTGCGGCAGATGGCCTCAGCGGTTCCCTTGTTGTCACCGGTGATGACAATGACTCGGATACCGGCGGCACGGCAGCGTTGGATGGAGTCGAATACTTCCTTGCGAGGGGGGTCGAGCATACCGACGACACCGACGAATGTGAGACCGACTTCGTAGCGGATGAACTGGGTGGAGTCTCCGAGCTCCATCTCGTCGGTTCGGGGAGGCGAGTCAAGGGTGGCGAGAGCCAAGCACCGGAGGGTGTCACGCCCGGTTCCGTAGGAACGAGTGGTGGCGAGGATTTTCTCCTTGAGAGCGGTGGTCATCGGGAACTTCTTGTCGCCGATGCGGACGTGGGAGCAACGGTCGAGCACGCCTTCCGGAGCGCCCTTGATGAACATTTTCGAGCCAGGTCCGAGCTTGTTGGGCTTGGTGGGGACGCAGTACGAGGACATGGATTTCCTGTCGCGGGAGAACTCGAGGGTGTATTCCTTCTTCCACATGGATTGGATTCCGTGGGAAACGGTGAGGGCGGCGTCACGACGAGACTTGCCGGACTTGTCGAATTTCAGAGGGTTGATCTTCTCGGCGAGGACGATCAGAGCGGTTTCGGTGGCCTCACCGACCTTCTCGAAAGCCTGTTTGTACTCGTTGAAGTCGATGGAGGAGTCGTTGCACATGATGCAGATTGTGGAAAGCTCGACGAGGGCTTCATAGTCTCCGGGGTCGACGCGGGATCCGTTCTTGAACACCTCACCGATCGGCTCGTAGGTCGAACCGGTGACTTCGAATTCGTGGAAGTTGACGTCGTTTCCTTCGGCGTAGTCGACGAGGAAGAAGCGAGATACCTGGAATGGAACGCATAGGTGATTTTTTTATTTCCAGACGGAGGACGCCCTTCCATGAAACCCGTATGCCCGAAAAGATCGTGTCAGTCAGAAGGCGATTTACGGACTACAGCAGGCACTCACAGACATCTGGTTGGTGGTGAGCGTTCCGGTCTTGTCAGAGCAGATGACCGAGGTGCATCCGAGGGTCTCTACGGAAGGCAGGGAACGAACGATGGCATTCTTCTTGGCCATACGGCGCGTTCCCAGAGCCAAGCAAGTGGTAATTACAGCGGGGAGACCCTCAGGGATGGCAGCCACAGCCAGAGCGACAGCGATCTTGAAGTAGTAGATGGCACCCTTGATCCAGGATCCTCCGTGGGCGGGATCGTTGAAATGACCGATGTTGATGGCCCAAACAGCGATACAGATGAGGGTGATGACCTTGGAGAGCTGCTCTCCGAACTCATCGAGTTTCTGTTGGAGGGGAGTTTTCACTTCCTCGGTCTCGGCCATTTCGGTACGGATTTTACCGATGGCGGTCTCGACACCGGTACCGATGACGATACCGAGAGCCTTTCCAGAGGCGATGTTCGTACCGGAGAAGAGGATGTTCTTCTTGTCTTGGTTGACGGCACGAGGATCGGGAACGGCGTCGGTGTGTTTGATCACAGACACGGACTCACCAGTCAGGATGGACTGGTCGACACGGAGGGTCGTCGAGTAGATCTTGACGAGACGGATATCGGCGGGAACTTTGTCACCGACCGACACCTCAACGAGATCTCCGGGGACGATCTCCTTGGCGCGGATTTTCTGGACGCCCTGTTTATTTCCACGGACCACCTTGCCCATTTCGGGTTCGTATTCCTTGAGGGCCTCGATGGCGGATTCAGCATTCCGTTCCTGCCACACTCCCACGACGGCGTTGGCGATCAGAATCAACAGGATAACGAAAGGTTCAACGAAGGCGGTGACCGATCCCTCCTCCTCGTCCGCCTCGAACAGGGCGAGCACGAAAGAGATGATGGCGGCGAGCAGCAGAATTTTCACGAGCAGATCATCGAATTGCTCTAGAATGAGCTGCCAGAGAGCCTTGCCTTCCTCGGCGGGCAATTCGTTCGGGCCATACTTCTCCTGGTATTTCTTCACTTGGCTTTCGGACAGACCGCGGTCGGCGTCCGTCTGGAAGAACTGAAGCACCTCCTGGTAGGTCTTCGCGTGGCCGTGCTCCATCTTTGAAGCAAGTCAGCCGCTTGCGAAGGACTGAAGGCTCACCGGACTCTTTCTCTGAACTTTTTTTCGACGGTGAGGTCCCTGATTAATGACGCTCACACCGGGCCGATCGCGACGACGGCACTGCAAGAGAGAGAGAAGTGCATCGTTAGACGAGCTAGAAAGTATCTCCAACGGGGCTATGGGGCTTTCGAGATTCTCGGGAAGCTGAGTGAGAGAATCGTTTCCGGTGTTTTCAATTTGAGGCGAATGCGTGGGTGGTTTCGGCGAACGGCTCACGGGAGTTGTGAGGCGGAATTCCCCATCCTGGATACATATCATGGGAATTCTCTCGCTCGCTCGCCTGGTCGAGAGCGGAATGTGAGTATTTTTTTCCGGACGAAACAGAAAACAATTCGACTGCATCAGATTGCTTCCTGACAAGAGATTTCGACATGAGGGGATACGGATCTCTGCGCGGTGTGAATAACTCCTTCCGAGCGCCCGATACGCCACCTCGATATGGAGCAACAAAACATCGAGCGAGATCTATGCTCTCAGAAGAGTTCCGAAGCCTTGGAGAACTCTGATCGATACCCGATAGGAGCTCGAAGTTCCTCAAGGGTCATCGAATCTCACAATCACGCAGCCACGCATACTATGTTCAACGGCGACCTGGATGCATCGTTCCCGTTTCTCGTGATTTCCGGGGCGGCTCCATCGCTTCCCCGGTGCTTGAAGCCGGACGACACCGGCGTGGATTTTCTTCCCACGACTGGATCGGTGTCGACTCCGAAATCCTCGCATTTCAAACACGCAAGCTTTCTGGATTCAACTCGTTCGTTGCGACCGTCGTGTAGCAAGCGTTTCACTCAGTCAGTCAGCCGGTCAGTCATAGCGACAGGAAGAGTCGAAGCAGTCCTAGAGGAAAAGGTTGCGCCGAATGCGGCACCGTCGTTTGTTTCCATCCAGAAAAACGCGTCGTCACTAAACTAAGTCGCGCTTTCTCGCTCCATCCTCGCTCGATTGGAAGGAAAAGGGAAAATGCACACTAGTCGCGGGACTGACGCCAAACGAGTGGATACGCACTGAGTTGCCCGCCCGTCGTTTGACGCTCGCACACCAGTCGACCGTCCGATCCCGAGGAATCTCGGGTACGTCGTCGTAGGTATATCCGGGTCACGTACTCCGGCAATAATGCGCAGAACACAATTACAGTCACACCGCCGGCGACAGCGGCAACTCATTCAATAAAGACGCTAAGGACACGTCAACTTTGCGCTAAGCGCAGACTCCATCGAGCGACCGACCGACCGATGGATGATGACAACAATGCATCCGAGTTTCTGTGTTCCTACTTAGTCATTCCGACGTTCATGGGGAGTAGAAGTTCCGTCGGGCTCGTGTGCGAATGAACAGATGACTCTTCTAGCGTCACGTCGGTGGACGGCGGGTCGACTGGGCCCTAGTCCGGAACGTTCCAGAATCACACGTGGAGCTAGCGCATCCGACGCACGGTATTCGAACAGAAGGAAGGAAGGACGGATTCACTCGGTCGAACTCGAACCTTTCCCCGTCGGGCCCAGGTGGTGGACGCGGCAACCTAACGTCGAACAAGCGCAACGCACATATGCTCCTGCTCGTCAGACGGCTCCCGCTGCTGCTGGGACGGCGGCAGCGACCGCTGCTGCAGATCAGAAAGTCTCATACGTCAAGATACGTCTCCGTGCAGGTCTCCTACGTCGGCACAAGGAAGTGCTAAACGCTGCATCACTCCACGAAAGCATAGACTTCTCCGCAGAGCTCCGCCGCCGCTCTCGTCAGCTGCGACGCGCACAGTGCGTTTCAATGAGCTCAACGGTAGCCTACCTCAATACGAGCAGGCACCCAGACAGTCCTCGCGGCGGCCACCGAACGATCTCGATCAGCAGCGAGCCGACGACTACTAGGCCGGCTGACTGCTTTTGAAGCGAGGCTTCGTCACTGTGCTCGAAACTCAACAAGAGCCTTCACGCTTCGTTTCAGAACCCACCTGAAAGACGCCCTTCGGAACTAGCACGGGCGTCGGACAGCCGCAGATCTCTAACGTCGTTGCGATTGACACTTAAAGAGTCCCACAGGGTTCTCTTAGCGTTCGCAATTCTGATTGGACACGTGAATGCCGGAAATGACGCACAGAACGAAACCAGTCGAGAGGGAAGAGCGCGGCAAATTTGAAAAATTCCACTCGTCTCCGCTCTTTCCGGCGCGAGTTTTCGGCGTACGGACAACATTCCGCTCGGGAAATCTCGCGAAAGCGAACGATTCCTAGCCGGAACATTTCAGGTCAGGCTCGGAGAGCTCCCGTTACAAGCGGTCGGTCTCTGCTGGGCCGGAGCGGTAGTTGGGGCCTGCCCGGCTCGCGACAACGACGAATGTCGGAAACACCCTCGCAGGCCACACATTCCGGACAATGTGTGCGCGGATTCTCTCATTGATTTTCCGCTGCTGAACGATTATGACGTCGAGGTGAAATATTGGATTCGTAATGCATAAAACTAGTCATAGAGAAGAGCGGCGTAGCTCCTGTTGTTGATTCTTCTGCCCTTCGCCTGCCTAGATGATGACCGTTTTCGAGAGATGGTCGAGGGTCGGTCGAGCGTATACAGTCGCATTCTGTCCGAACCTCCTTGACATGTCTCTCGATCCGTCTCGGAGTTCCGACCTCGGAGGGAAGTTTCGATAGTTTTGAGAGGTCTCATGCATTAGCCCGGCGCTTGAGTGAAGGACGCCGATCCATTCATACTTCGAGGCTCCCGACTGCTATCACGCCGCAGAGCAGCGCGCGGTAAGCGACGCGTGGCGCATCAGAATCCTTCAGAGAACGACAGCTTCAGACACGCGAGGGAAAATATCAATCAAAGTCGAGACAATGCGTCGATATGCAGATCCATCAAAAGTGGTCGTCATCGGCGCTCTACCGTCGTCATAACTTCTAGACGACAGTTTTCCCTGCGTCATGCTGTCGCCGCATCTTTCGAGAACAGAAATAATTGCTGACCAATTGATACAAACTGTCTCGTGAGACTCGGGGCAGCGATGAACTTTCCGAAGAACCGACTCGGACTGTCAGCTGCGCTGACTGAGCGTTCGGATCGCCTCTGACGAGCTGGGAAGTGGTTAATCGATATGCACCGCCGCTCTTGGACTGAAGGCGGAGTGCGTAGTCGATTCGCTCACTCAGTCGCAGATTGACGCTCTCGGTTACGCGCAGGCTGTAAACACTCAAAAGCCCTTGGAGTTGCTTCAGTCAACTTTTTAGAGACTCGCAGCTGCATAATTTGAGGCTACCGGCAGATCACCCGATACTATCACCACCTCCATGGATTCTGATCACTGACGACCCAGCAGTGTCGGGTTCGGCACCGGAAGGGCGCAGCGTGACGCTTGGGCTCGTTTAGGGATTCGAGTATCGGCATCAATTACAAGTTGGGCGAGCGGTTCAGCGTGGATGTCACCACGGAACGCTGGCTTTGGGAACCTTATCGGACGAGCTTGTGAGACTCCGGTATCATCTTTTCCACCGAAAGAGCGGATCGTTATTGGCCCCGTATCGCGCACGGCATTTCACGATGGTCATATTGGACCGTGCGTCAGGAAAGTGAGCTTTTCAAGTTTCTCTCCACCATGGGGTGTGGGGAAAAGATCGGCGACGCCAAACGTAGCCTCGCCCTAATCGGGAGCACACCGAACGATCAGGGGTGGAAATTGTGGATCTCCGAGCTGTTGGAGAACGGATAGCTCGAGAAAACCATAGCTCGAATCTCGTGAGTGAGACTCGATCACCGGCATCGAGAAGCCCTGACGTCCGCCTTCTAATCGAAACATCGACCAAGGACCAACGATACAATCACCGATTCACAGATTGATAGACCCAATACCCTGCGATGCTTCCCCCGCATAGAGAGACATTCTGAATGCGTCCACGGGCCGAGTGTTTTGTTTTTCCACGTTAGGTGGAACACCCAATGTGTCGACATCACTCGAACACCTCCGGACGATCGAGTCGGGAAGCTTCACCGAGGTCGATCCACCTCGTGTCGCTTGTCCCGCTTCCGCGTGGGGACATGCGGGGCCAATCGCGAACGAGGACGACGATGGGCGCAACAATTCGTGATATTGCTGAATTACGAGACTTCTCTCAAAGACGAGACTTCATAACTGGCCCGCCGTAGACTCCGCCGGGCCACTGATGGCTGATTCTCCCAGCTATTCTAGGCTAAGGTTCGCTTGCTTCGACGCTGCTAAGCCGTTCGCTTGAGCGCCCGACCAACCGACCGTCCACACATCCGACCGCAAGCCCGCCCGCCAGCTTGGTCGCGCGCGCGGTCGCTCGTTCGCCCGTCCATCCGCTTGCCCGCCTGGCCGAGAGACCCGCCGGCTATGTTCCCGGTCGCGCAAAGGGCCGATGGGTCTCCGAGGACCAGAGGACCTGCGTGCATTGCCGATGCAAGAGCGCGACTTGAAACATCAAGATTAGATGCGCTTAGTGAAAGGAAGGTACCGCGCAGCCGTCCGGCCTAGCGGGCCGGTAGTTCGACCGCCTGCCGGTGTGTCTGCAACTCATCAAGAGCCCCGACTCGGTTGAAGTCGGTGGCGAGAATCGGCACACGGTATCCAAAAAGACTTATTAGCGGAAGAGTCACACTGCTGCAGTAGCGGCCGTAAGCCGAATGCACCACGGATACCGATCGCGACATCGTTCTGCACGGGAGCATTTCTGTCATGATTCTCAGTTCTCTTCAGTTCTCTAAACGAATCATCCGAAATTGTTTTTGTCCGAGCTCCTCCGGAGTAGAGCTCTGTCCGCGGAATTCTCAGCTGAAGGCTCGCGATGATCATTATCAATCACCGGATGATCCGGTCGATCGGAATCAGGACAGAGCTCCGAAATTCCCCGAGTCTTGACAACACCGGGCAACACCGTTCCTCCCCGGCACTTCGGAGCGACAATCATATGTAGCTCCATAGGAGCGAGAATCGAGAGATCGGTTGGGTAGGGATTCATAAATCGCATAGACCGTAATTAGCGCGAGAGCTACGTCAATACGACAGCAAACTCGTGGCGGTATTCTTCGAGACTTGCCAACGATGGGCCGGTGGGCTAGCGGCTCGCTTGCCCGCCGGGCCGGTCGCGATTCGCGAAGACCCATTGTTCGAAGGTCTGACAAGTCTCTTAGTCGAGAAAGGTAAGAAGGTCCCGCTCGCAGCCGGTTCCGGCAAGGGTGACCCCCGTGAGAGCTTTCAGAGGACATGCTCGCTCGCGAAGCCGACGATGAAGACGACGAATGCATGACCTTGCCGAGACGATATCTACCCTAGAGACAGTGGTCGTTGGGCAGCATCGGCTGAGATTCTTCTCCTACCACCGCTCATGAGCTCGCACGCAGGGAAGGTGTCTGCGAGTTCTGAACTTTCGTTCGCTCGCTTGTGCGGTGCCGGAGCACTCAGTCGAGCAACCACGCAAATGAAGTGAGAATCATTATCCGGAAGACCGATCTATTCACTCACGGAATTTTGCGGCCCGCGAACTACTAAATCACCGAGAATTATAAACAGTCAACAACAGCCTTGTTCGAAACACAGGTCACTCAGGACCTAACAGTGAGCGTGATTCGGTCTGCTCGCCTTAACCTCCTCGAATAGAAAGAACGCTTCAGGTGGGGACCGCGCACGTAAAGCCGCCGATTGTTCCGTTCTTTTGTTCGCTGCTGTATCTCTCTGTCCACTCGAGGGAAGCATGGGGGCGTCTCACATTGTCTTAACTCTCGACGACAATTCACAGACGTCACTAAGATTTACGTAGTCAATCAGAGCGTCAATCGAGCAGTCAAACGTGAGCTGACGTTTGACGTATCGATATTCTCCGATTGACTATGAGCAGATAGGGTCGTAGGAGGACCAATTCCGGCTCGGGGCGCCCCTCTTCTGTGAATTGACCACTGATCAACGTCTCCTAGGGGAAAAACGGATCGGTACAACTCTCCCTCACTATATTTCCATCTTCGCATCCGTCGTAGAACGAGACCCATGTCGCCTCTCTAGAGAGCGAAATTCCTCGAGAACTCCTCTCTGCTCCTTGCGGCAGTCCACACAGGGAGAAAGACGTCGAAAGCGAGACAAGGGAGAGGAAAACGAGAGAGGGGCAATCTCCGGGGGCAATCCCTGTGCCTTTCCTCGTCAATGGTCGAAACGGAATGAAGACTCGCGCCCTTCAGGTACTCACTCTCAGGTGCTCGGATGGACCAGTCGGAAGTGAAACTCATTGGGAGCGTTCAAAACCTGACTGTGAAAGTCCGGGAGCCGCGTAAATATCGACTAGTGCACACTATAGACATAGAGCTAACACCGGACGATTTCACTGTCCGCTCTCGGAGACCATTCTCCCGAGTTGATATCCTTCTAAGGACACGGTAGCGAGCTACCGATCTGATAATAGTCCGGACACGATGCCACAGAAAGCACGCTGCACCAATAAGCCACGGGGTTGCGCACTGTTATCAATCACTTTGATCCGAGCCGGTAGATTCCGCCGTTGTCTCTCAGACTCCACAACCCCCTCCGCGTCGACGTTCGTTGTTTACGTGGGTTCTCATTTCTGTACTTAGGCTTACCGGTAGAGAGTCAGAATGGCTCGCCGCTGACGATGCTGGGGTCCAAGCGATCCTCGGCGACAACGTTTTGCTCAGAGTATCGCGCCCTTTAAGAACCAGGAGAGAGTTCCGGCTTCACCGGAAAGAGTGGCAAGAAGGTCCACGAGAGACCTTCCCGCACAGCTGCCGAAGGGACCTATAGGCCCACCGGAGGACATCGGCGTTTGCGACCTGCTGCCACTGCGCGCCTCACTCGCGTGGACAAATCGGCTCGACTGTCTGAGTTCCAAGGTCGCTTCAATTTCGATCGATGTGCAGCTTACTTTCGGAAGAACCCCTCATCTAACGCGAGGGAGGGTTCCGCTCGATTCAATCATCGACGCGAAGCACTTTCTCGTCGTTGAGGGCCGTTGTCACCGCCGCTGAACAATCTGCGACCATTAGACGACGTTTCATGTTAATCACGACCGCAGCCAATTAGCTGCGGGCTTATCGCATCGACTGCGAGTCCCATAGTGTTCCAGCTCAGTACATCGCAGAACTCCTTCTTCCGTTAAGATACATGCACTTGGCAGGCTTGGACGTTATGTGGGCTCGCTCATTGCTGAGTGCTCACGTTTCCTGCCCGTTTACGCTTATTCATGGACCGACGGAGCCTGGGGAAGCTCGGAGACGGCTCTCCCTCCGACTTCTGAGCTTGAATTCGATATTTTGTTCCAATCGTCGGGCAGGATCGGGGATCTGACGTCCCCTTTGTAATAGCGCGAGTCTCTCGAGGTCCAAATTGCATTTTGGTATCTACCACGCGGTTCCCAGACTCGTCACCTATCGGTTCTCGCGGTCCCCAACCCTCGTTCTCGGGATTCTTTCCCGGGTGGACAATCCGAAACGGAGAAATCGATCGAGCGAAAATGTCGACAAAATCGCGGGGTCTGGCAAGTGGAATGATAATAACTTCTGCCATGAGCTGTTGATTGATGCCGCTGCGAGAGAGAAAACTTCGATACGATTGAAGGATTGAGGAGTGCCTGGAAGAGCGAATGAGGAGTCCCTCAAACGCAATCAGCGGAGTACTCGCGGGTATATGTCTTCATACAGTCTCTCGGGAGAATGTAGACGGTCAGGTAGATCTATGCCCAGGTGGCCGGCAAAGCCATGCGAGAGGGAACTCGCGGGAGAGTCCGCAGCCGGACTGAAACTTTAGGGGGAGATGAAGGGGAACTCCGGAAAACTTGAATAGAAAATGCAATATAGATTAGACCAGTCAAATACCGTACCGGATTGGGAACCGGCATGAGCGAGAGATCGTATGGAGAAAAGGAAGACGCCGGCGGAGTACTGCCATGGACACTCCGCCCCTTTGCTACTCGCTTCAGTCGATGCTTGAAATGTCTCCTATGGGCTCGGAATTACAGCAAGCAGATTGGGATCCACCACGCCGTCAGCGTATCGTTGACAACCCCGGCAACTCACCGGGGAATCCGAGTCCAACGTACCGTACAGACGTGCCGTAGAAGGGCTGTCGGAGCTCAACGGTACTGTATAGGTACCTTCGCTGGTGATTATACCACGTCCGGTAGATATCCTCTGAAGTCTGAACGAATCGTCCCGACGATTCAAGCGATATCCACAATGGGCGTCCGCGGAGCCGTTCGCACGGATCGATTGCCCTAGTCGAGAGATGATGCGGTCGTGTCGCTCACTACGTGTGTGATACAAGTTCAGTATTCCTACAGAGTGGCTTCTCGGATGGCCAATGGTAATAACTTGATATGCAACTATAACATGACAATGATAACCAGACTAACTTCCCAAAGTCAACTTTCGATCTGGAGTAGCGCTGCGACGTACTGTCATCCAAACTTCCGCTCCGTGGTAGTATAGTGCGTCAGCTGAGCGGCGAAGTGTGAAAGTTTGATGCGGAAAGAGCGTTGTCACCCGACAGGACTCGGTGTTGTGTATCTCGTGAAGATGTGATGCACAACGCTCCCAGCCAGCGTAGCATTATAGAAAACCTTCCAAAAGGTCTCCCCGAGAGCCTCGAAGCCTAAAACGGAAACCTTTGGTTTCCACAAGGACTCGAAGATCCGAAGAGGCTTCGACATTGTACCGAAACAGGCCATCATGTTGTATATATATTGTTTAAAACTTGTATACTACTTACTATATTGCGGGGAGCTTTTCTATAACGCCGCGTCGTAGAGAAACTTCCATTCACCGCCCAGTTTACAGACGGAGTCTCTCTCGTTTTTGAGAATTCCCCTCAGTCGTGTGCCTCAGCAAAAACTTTAATAGGAGCTCCAGGCTCACCCTCCTTAGGAGAGATTTTTGACCGAATTTCATGCAAATCGGGAAGTGCTGCGAGAACTGTCCAACCTGAGAGCTGACGTACGAGGGACCTCTCGTACAAGCTCGTATTCGCTCGGATTTTGGTGTCGGAACAATCCCACGCCATATGGAATGGAATATCTGAGAACGCGAGACTTCGGGGGTTTCTGATGAGGAGATGATGAAGATGAAGCGCGCTCTACTTGCGGGAGAGCGAGCAGGGTTGCAGTTCTTGTACTCGGTCCCAGACTACCAGATTGTAATGGAGAAGATAGGATTCTCAATCATTACTGATTATTCTGGGAAGCAATTCTTCATGGCACGATTTGTCGATGCGCTTTGATCAGCCCTTATCAGCTTCCTGAATCATTCGACTTCGCAGCCGTCATAGCTTCTGCGTGTTATGATGTTCCGGGGAATCGAGCCCATCTTTCGGAGTTACGGATGCCAAGGCCTTTTTGACTGAATTTGTGGGACGCGCTGGCGTAGACTAATTAGGTTTTCCTCCGCTGAAGTAGAATCCCGCAACGGATTTTTCCTGACTCCCTCCGGCACGGCACCTGGTCAGAGCTGAGGCGAGTACCAAGGGTCGACTTGGTGCTTCTCGAAGTCTAGGGACGGCATTTCCCGAAGCCGCGCTGCGAGAAGCGAGAACAATGATCCGCGGGAAGGATGAGGCCGAGAGCGAGTGGCTAGATCACTGTACAAGCAATCTCGTACACTCTCTCAATTACACGCGCGACCGTGATATACAATTGTTTTTGTGTCTAGACCTACTAACCTCAACCACAACTACAATCCACTTGGCACAAGAGAAACCCATGCGTTTCAATCTGTTTCCGTTCATCGCTGCGTTGCTACAAACAGCAGCTGGGCCAGGGACCTGAACAAAGGGGGAAAATACTTTTCAAGGGGAAGTGTTCTGGCAGTCAAGTGTATGATGATGCGGGTACGAAAGCTAGATTATCAGGCTCGAAGCTAGAAACGGATCCCGTTTTCTCAATCAGTTTTGAGGGATTCCGGGATGCCTCTGAGCCCAGTGAAAGCTGAAAATCCGCGCTGCGCGCAAGAGGAGCCTCTTGTGCCAGCGCAGTCGTGGACGTTGATAAGGGTGAGAAATGAATAGGCTGAGCGGCATTTGGCCGCGTTTATGAGAGCGTCCGAACTCTAACACGAGTCAACATTAAAAAGCGTCGAAGCTAAAATTAGACTCAGGCGAATCATCTGTTCGTTGTCGACTGCTCGCGTGGGCCGAACTGCAGCCGAACAGCGGTGTCGTAGACATCGACACCGACGGTAAAAATCACAGCTGCCAACATGAAGCTCGAGGATTGTTTAGCGAACAGTTTTCGAAGAATTTGCTCTTTTTCCCTCCAACCGTCGGTGAGCTCAGCAGCAGCACCAGCAACTCCACGACCACCTGTAAGCTCCTGTGTGAGGCTGAATCTCAAGAAGTACTGAGTCTCTCTCGCGATCTCTCGAACTTTATCGCTGTCGTTTGGCCTTAGGTCTCTCTCTTCCTATTTTTCTCTGTTTGTCCCCGAACAGGCAAGAAGAGCCCGCAGCCCAGGTTCTCTCCAGAGCAAGCTCTATAAATACATATCAGTGGTGCGACTTTCGCTCGCGCGCGCTTCGCAATTAGAATTAGCGATGCGAGCGAGCCTGATTCGGTGCGCAGTGGCGCATGTGGACATTTCACTGGCTTCGAGCACTTTATCTTACGCTTGCTAACACCATCTAAAAATGCTACCGGCTTCATACGATTGAATGCACGTACGTGTGTTTGCTTACATGCTTCAACATTTTACTACAGCATTGATCTATTATCGATTCACCGCCAACCTGAGTGCCCGGTCGAGTCGAACAGCTGTCTAATGGTCCGCAGCGCTTTGTATTCTGTCCTTCCCCTCGAGTGAGCCGCGAACCCTTGTAGCACCACTGCAGAGACAAAAGGACGACGGGAGCGTAATCGGAATCATACTCTAGTTAGTTGAGGGAGTAACTACGGAAGTTACGCAGAGGCAAATGGCGAGAATCGTTTCTCACGCTTCCGCATCGAGCTCGTTGCTCGGGCGGCCGGGCGGCTTGCCGACCCGAGCTGATGATCGCCCGCTTGCCCTGTGGGCTTGCCTCGCAACACAGGAGAGCTGATTCGGGGACCGGGTCTTCGGGTTGAAAATTCCCCGGAGACCGAGAATGCATGAATACTGAACTGGGCCGCGCCGCAAATAGCCCGCCGGACTTGATATCGTATACTAGAAGCTGACAATTTATCAAGGTCCGACGCAACTCCGCGTCGAGACTCGGACCAGACACACCAAGAACCATCGGGAGATATCGAGGTTCGGTATCGTCACGGTTCCTGAGCTTTCCCCATCGTTGAGCGAATTGTAGTCCACCCAGAGAGTGTTTGGAAACGGTATCGAGCACGGAAACCAGTCCACGGTCCTGACATAAGCGGACCGCGATTCTGAGGCGCCCTCTGAATGGTGGGGGAAATGTTCTCGAATTCTCATGTAGGATTGGTTCCTCCGCTCGAACATCGACCATTTGTTCAAACATGCCAATATTATCTTCTGCGCTGCTTTCCGTGATCTTTCAGGTCGTATCGAAGGTGATAATGATTGTGAGCAATTCTCGTCAGCGCGCCGGCAGATTATCGCTCGCTGTGGCAGCACAGCTAATGTAGTTTAACAGATACCTACTCCGGCATTCTCGGACAGAGACAGTTCGTTCGTGAGCTTCGAGAGCAGATATT